GATGTTTGCTGAGAAAAAAGAATCATAATGACTCTGATGATGAATTATTCCTATAATTTCCACCTCTGAGTGCTGGTTTAAATAAGTGACTTTCACAGAAGAGGGAAGGAGGGAATCATGTATAGTTTGAAAACAAAGCAGGATTTTGCCTTACTGCTTTGGTTTGTTTTTATTCATGACATTTACTTTATTTTGAATTGAAGATTACATTAAAAGAGAACATGAGATTTTTATATTTACTGAGGATGGTTGTTCCTGTAAAGGAACCCATGTGTTAGATTCTCAAAGCTCTTTCCAGCTTTTTGATTCCATGAATTAAAAAAAAATTCATTTTACTTGCTATCCTTTTTTTGTCAAAAATGAAATTAAAAATGGGTGCATTTAGGCTGTGAAATTAGTGAATGAAGAGTCAACGAAACAGTTTCTTTTTGACACCCAAGACAAGAAGGATTGGCAGCTGTAAACAGCCAATCAACTGATGTCTGTCAACTGATGAATGGATAAACAAAATGTGGTTTATCTATACAATAGAATATTATTGAGTCAGAAAAACGAATGAAATACTGTTACATGCTACAACATGGATGAACCTTGAAAACATTATGCTGAGTAGAAGAAGTCAGACACAAAAGGATGCATATTACCGTATGATCTTATTTACATAAAATGTACAAATAGGCAAATCCATAAGACAGAATGTAGATCAGTGGTAGCTCCCATGGGGGCTTGTGGGAAGAGAGAATGGGAAGTAACTACTAATGGGTATAGAGTTTATTTGTGAGTGATGAAAATGTTATGGATCTGGATAGTTATATTTGCACAACATTCTGAGTGTACTAAATGCCACTGAACTGTACATGTACACTTAAAATGCCTAAGATGGTTCCAAATGAAGGATATAATTATATTTTATAGATCTGTCAAGTATGACTTTGATAATTTGAGGGATTACACTGAATTTGTAAATCACTTTGGCTAGTATGGACATTTTAACAATGTTGATTCTACCTATCCATGATCATGACATGTTTTTTCATTTGTTTGTATCCTTTGCAGATACAAAAAGAGTTTTATAATGCTCTTTGTAGAGATCTTTCACCTTTTTGGTTAAGTATATTCCTAGGTATTTTATTTTCTTTGTAGCTATTGTGAATGGTATTGAGTCTTTGATTTGACTCTTGGAATGACTGTTATTAGTATACAGAAATGCTGGTTTATGTACATTGATATTGTATCCTGAGACTTCACTGCATTTATTTATCAATTCCAGGAGACTCTTGGTAGAATCTTTGGGATTTTCTATGTACAAGAGTACATAATCAGCAAAGAGAGATAGTTTGACCTCCTCTTGCTCAATTAGGATGCCCTTAATATTCTTCTCTTGCCTGATTGCTCTGGCTAGACTTCCAGCACTATGTTGAATAAAAGTGATTACAGTGGGCATCCTTGTCTTGTTCCAGTTTTTAGAGGTAATGCTTCCCACTTTTCCCCATTCAGTATGATGTTGGCTCTGTGGGTTTGTCATTTATGGCTTTTATAATTCTGAGATATGTTCCTTCTATGCCTAGTTTATTGAGGGGTTTTATCTTGAAAGGATGCTAGATTTTGTTGAATGCTTTTTCTGCATCTATTGACATGATCATATAGTGTTTATTTTTGCTTTTGTCTATGTTATGAATCATATTTATTGATTTATGTATGTTGAACCATCCTTGCATCTCTGGGATTAAGCCCACTTGATCCCGGTGGATTATTTTTTGATGTGCTGTTAAATTTGGTTTGTTAGTATTTTATTGAGGATTTTTACATCTATATTCATAAGGGATATTTCTCTGTAGTTTTCTTTTTTGTTGTGTCCTTTCCTGGCTTTGGTATCAAGGTGATACTGGCTTCATAGAATGAGTTGGGGAGTATTCCCTTTTTTAATATTATGGAATAATTTCTGTTATATGGGTACCAGGTCTTCTTTGTAGGTCTGATAGCCAAAGTGCTCTTGAGCAAAAAGAACAAATCTGGAGGCATAGCATTACCAGACTTCAAACTATACAACAAGGCTATAGTAACCAAAACACCATGGTATTGGTACAAAAATAGAGACACAGACCAATGCAACAGAGAACCCAGATATCAAACCATCTACTTATAATCAACTGATCTTTGACAAAGCAGACAGCAATGTACATTGGGGAGTAGAAGCCCTATTCAATAAATGGTGCTGCTAAAAAATTGGATAGCCACACGCAAAAGAATGAAACAGGACCCTTACCTCTCACCACTCACAAAAATTAATTCAAGATGGATAAAAGAATTAGATCTAAGGCATGAAACCATAAGAATTCTTGGGGAAAATATAGGAAAAATTCTTCTAGATATCAGTGTAGGCAAAGAACTTATGACTAATGGCAATCATGGCAATAACGAAAATTAATAAATGGGGTTTAATTAAACTAAAAAGCTTCTGTAAAGCTAAGGAAACAATCAACAGAGCAAATAGACAATCTATAGAATGAGAGAAAATATTCATACACTACACAGCTGATAAAGGGCTAATAACCAAAATTTACAAAGAACTCAAGCAAGAAAAAAAACACCTCTATTAAAAAGTGGGCAAAAGACATGAACAGAAGCTTTTCAAAAGAAGAAAGACAAATGGCCAATAAACATATGAAAAAAATGCTCAATGGCACTAATCATAAGGGAAGCGCAAATTAAAACCGCAATGAGATATGACCTTGCCCCAGTTAGAATGGCCTTTATTAAAAAGGTCCAACAACAATAGATGCTGGCATGGATGCTGAGAGAAAGGAATGCTTATACACTGTTGGTGGGACTGCAAATTAGTACGACCTCTGTGAAAAATAATATGGAGATTTCTCAAAGAACTAAAAGTAGACCTGCCATTTCATCCAGCAATCCCACTACTGGGTATTTATCCAAAGAAAAGGAAGTCTTTTCATTAAAAAGACACCTACATGTGAATGTTTATTGCAGCATAATTCACAATTGCAAAGATGTGGAAACAACTCAAGTGCCCATCAATTCATGAATGGGTTAACAAAATGTGGTATATGTATACCATGGTGTATTACTTAGCCATAAAAAAATGAATTAATGCCTTTTGCAACAATCTGTATGGAACTGGAGACAATTCTTCTAAGTGAAGTATCTTAAGAGTGGAAAAACAAACACCACATATACTCACTATTAAATTGGAACTAACCAATCAGCACATGTGCACAGAGGGAAGTTAAACTCAGTGGAAAGCAACCAGGGGCAGGGAGAGGCAAAAACCAACCTAATGTGTACAATGAACACTATCTGGGTGACAGGCACACCTATAGCAAGGACTTAAGTATTACAGAAATGATCCGTGTAACTTAAAACATGTGTACCTCCTTAATATTTTAAAATTTAAAAAATGCCTAAAATGGTAAATTTTATCACAATAATAAAAAAGGGATTGCATCTGTAAAACTTCAGTATATCAACCCTTACCATGTGTCTATGATTTGTGAATAGGACTAGGCTTTGGAATAAAAGGGCAACCATCCTGTCTGCAGTTAATGGCTTCTATAGGTCCAGAATATATATATATAATTAGGAGGTAGGAGTGAGGGGGGCAGGGCTTATGCATAAATATTTCAGAGATTCCTGTTTCTTTTACAGTTCCCTGGGGAGCTATAGACAAGATCCAGTCTTCTTGTTTAAGGTTGAAAAATCTATTGGATGAAGGTCTTAGGCTTTTTTTTTTTTTTTAAACCATTATTCTTACCAGCTCTCATTTGAGATCTGTGTCTATATGTAGGAAAATTACTAGGTTGATTAAACATGGAAATGTTTAGATCAAACCTTCATTTATCTGGACTGTAAGTAATCATGTAGACAGGGTAAGAGGAACATTCTCAACAGTCCTGCTGTGTTGTGTCTGGTTTACTCTGCTTCCTTACCTGATTCTTGGTCAGACCTGTTGTCTCTCCACTGTTTCTGTGCCTCTTTAACCTTTAAAAGCCCATATCCTACTCTCACACAAGAGTTACTGTTTTGTTCCTTGGTTTCTTGGTGAATTTTCTTTTTGACAGTTCTTGTACATTTAGTCAACTCTTTCAGAGACATTTGTTTTAACAGCAAGTTTACCCAGTGACAGAGGTTGTTTAGATGTGCTTTGAAACTGGATGTAAGAAAAAGTTGGCTGTAGACCTTTCTTATGGCATGATTTTAAGTGTTTTTTTTTTTTTTTTTCTCCTCTCCTAGTTTACTTATATATAAAAAAACCCTAATGGTCATTCTTATTCTGGCAGCTATCACTGATTTTTTTCTCAGATATAAAAATTATATTGGCTGTCATTGACTACATTAAAAAAAAACCTCCAAAGATTGGGTGATCATCTAAAAGAATATTTATTTTTATTCAAAAATATGATACATCACAGTGAAGCAGTTACATTCTAAACAAATAAGACATAAAACCATAAAACCTTTTAGTAGAATGGGGAGAGAGAGTAGTTTGCTTTAGTTCACTGTCACTCTGGATGCCAAGAATAAGAAGCATAATCATCTTCCTCTGTGAGCATCGAGTACAAAGATGAGAAATTTTAGATATAGTGCTAGTATTTAAATTTTATTTAGAAATTAAAGGTTCTCTAGTAAAATACCTTTTCTTTATTTTGTTCAATCTGTTGTGGAGGTGTTGAATTCAGAGATGTTATTACATTTACTGAGTTTGCTTCTTCAGGTCAATCCCAATGTGGTTTAGAAATAATTTGTTTTCTCATCTCCTCCCTATAGATTCCTCAACAGAATAATTTCCTAAGGATACCTGACTCATTTTGGAAATTTTGCTTACTGTTTTTTTACATTACTTTTTTTATATTCATAGTTTAAAATTTCTGATGGAATTTAAAATGCCGTACAGAAACCAGGATATTGTACAATAATGATTTATTACTATGTGATAAACAACCTTCTGTAGACTGATCATAGAAATAAAAACCAACACAAACATGGTAGATCCTCATTTTCTAAAGAAATATATTTTTATTGACTTTTCCCATTTTCTTACAAAGCAGTTAAAAAACTCATTCTTGCCCTTGCATGCTATTCAATGTTATGATGGCTGCCTCCTTATAAGGTTGTCAGTGGAGCTGTGATAAGTTTCTTCAAGCACCACAGAATATCATCCTTGCTTGGTCCCACTTTTATAGGAAAGAATCCAAGTTTCACCGGATAGTGTATGCTTAGCTCTCTTGAAGAAGACCAGTTTAGTGGATTAATGTCTAATTTACATACAATAATAAAGACAAACTTTGCATCTTTACAGATTAAATGCCCACTTTATACCATGGTGTAATTGTTTGAATTATGGGTGAGTGTACAGTATAGAGATGTAGATGTACTAGATATATCTATAAATAAAATAGTGCTTTAAGGTAACAATATTCTTTGGCTGACTTAAATGCCTGTGGTAGACTCTTATAAAAGACTAAAATGAAAATGGCCCCACTATTATTGTTAATCTCAGCACGGAGCTTGTGCGGAAGGTCCCTATACTGTTGACTGTCAGCATCTCCAGGTCCACGATATATTCTCTCGGTCCTGACAGTGACTTCACAAGCACAAGCATTGCACTTACAGGACTTGTTTGCTAAAAGAAAAAAGAAGAAAGGAAAAAATAATTTTTCTTGGATTGGAGTTTCTATTATTTGTTAGTATACCTCCTACAGGGATTAGGGGAAGAATTTTGAAGGTGGGATAAAGAGCTACTACTTAGTCCCTTCTTGGTTTAAACTCTGCTTGGTTCTTATCTACCATAAGTCATTAGCTCCAAGTTTCAGGGACCTGCTTTCTTGATAATTCTTTGCTTTCTGTTCCTCCCTCTTTTTTAACATTTCTCTTCACTTTTATTGGGTAGTTCCAACCCTTGTAGAGACTAGAGTTCAGGTGAGAATCCGATAATTTTTGAATTTGTAAACAAAGTTGTCATTTTCCATTTTATTGACATTGTGCATCTATTTATATTCTATAGGTGAGAAGACATGTTAAGTAGTTAATTTCAATAGATTGTGGTAAATGTTAAGATACATGGGGTTATGCAGGGTACGTATGAAGATACGTTAAAGGCGCATATACACAGGGAAGAAGAGAGGGGCCCTGAAATACTGAGAGAAAGCTTTTGGATGCCTGAGAAGAGTCACCAGGGATAACTAGAAGTTTTGTAAAGTATTATGTTCAAGAGAACTGGATGCAGTTTCATTTTGATGAAGAATGTGATGGGTCCTGCCAAGTAGAGGGAGATGAGGCTGGAGGGCAGGTAATTGGATGTGTGAGTCTGAATGCCAAGGGAGAGAGACGCGGCTTAGCATTTAGCAATCATCTCAATGGGTGGACATTAAACCAGAGGAGAGAAGGTTTATGAAATGAGGCTGGAGTTCTAGAGGAGGACAACATTTAGGAAGCAGGCAGAGGAGAAACCATTGAAGGAAGTAAGAAGAAATAGATGATTAAGTGGAAAACAGAAGAGTGGCCAGCAGTATTCAGCAGAGCAGGAGAGGACAGGGATGACTGTAATTGAAAAGCATCCTTTGGATTTAGCAGTATGAATATCGTTGATGGCTTTTTTCTACAGCAATGTCAGCAGGGCAAGTGGGAACAGAAGACAGAGAAATGACTAGCAAGTGAGAGAACACAGACCGTGATTACAGACTGAGTTTTAAGAACTTATCTGGGAAGGGAGTGGAGGGTGGGGTCAAAATCTAGAGGGAGAAACAAGTTGAATTTGTAGAACGTAGAGGACAGTGGGATGGAACAAGGCTGCAGAGAAGGAATGAAGAATCCAAGTGGTGGGTTGGCCTTGATGAGGTGGAGGAGGTAGGAAGGGGGGAACACATGGGCTTAAGTCTGTAGTGGCCTTGGACAGGAAGTTCATGGAACTCATGCCTATTGGGCTCAATGGTTTCAGAGGAGTAGGAGGTGAGGTCACTTACTGAACATGAAGGGTATAAAGACTTAAGCACTAGGGGGACACTTGAAATCAGGGGTTGAATAAAAGAAATAGGAATAAATAATAGGATTGGTGAGAGTACCAGGACCTATCTGAGATTTTATGGTGTTATGAATCTGCACTGACAAGCTGGATATGGACATAGATATGGATAATAGGATTGACTTGGGGTTGCTGGACAGGGGCTTGAGGTGTTGGTGACAGAGTAGTTCAAGTATCCACCATGTAGCTGATAGACTGGGAGAACACAAGGGGTGGGAGGTTAGGGGACAAGCATCACTTTGAGGGTAAAGAGCAGAGTGGGAGTGAGGGTGTGAGAGAGGGGACAGACAGTCAGTTATTGAGATGAAGGTTCACTGGAGATGAAGGTTCTCTGGTAGAACTGTTGTAGATGATAACAATGTCTGGGGTGTGGCCACAGGGGTTGGTGGTTGAGTGGCTGAAGCTGAAGGTCATGAGGGTGAATAGCCTGTAGGTTAAGGTGCTGGATGATTCTGACTGTGCCCAGATCAGGTTACAGGAAGAAAGCCTGTTCACAGTTTAGCCCCTCCTTATCCCAGGCCCTCTTCTGTTTTTAGTAATCTCATCCACTCCCTACACACCCTCCCTGAGGATTTCATCTATAGTCATGGCTTCAGTTATCATCCATTTGCCAGTGTCTTGAAAGTCTGCATTTTGATTTCCAAACCCACATAACCAGCTCTCTACTCATCTCTACTTGGATATCTCATGGGGACTAGGACTTCATATATCCAAGTGAACTCCTCACCTGCCCCTTCACATTAGCTCCTTTCCCCCATCTCAGTAAATGGTATCACTATTTGCTGTTGTTCAAGAAAGAAAATAAGGGGGTTACCTTCTTGATGCTTCCTTCTCCTCTAACCTCCCCATAGCAAATGGGTTACTAAGTTATGTAGTTCTTCCTATATCTTCACAAATATGTCTGTTTTTTTTTTTTCTTTCTTTTTTGGACTCACTGCTACCACCCTACTCCCCTGTCTCTTGGATTACTAACAGTTCTCTCCATTTCCACTCTAGCTCCATTCCAATCCAGGCTCTACAGGACAGCTAGACACTGCTGTCTTGGTTAGGTCTACTTGTTCTACAGTCGTGAGCAACTTGTAATGCTCTGTTTCTGTGTTAAGCATCCTTCTGAGCACTCATTCAGTGTCTTGACTATAAGTCATACTGGGGCAGGAATTGGCTTGATTTTTTTTCACTGTTGTGTCTCAAGGATCTTCCACAGTGCTTGACTCTTGTAAGTAATAGTTGTAGGTAATAACAATGCCTTGAAGGTGTTGCTTGAATGACTTCATTCATTTAAAAATATTTTTTGAGCACCTACTATGTGCCCGGCACCACTCTATGTGCTGAGGATAGAAGAGTGAACTGACAGGCAAAGTCTCTGCTCTCATTATGCTTACATTCTAGTGATGACACAAATGTATAATATGTCTGGTGGTGACAGGGCTATAAATAATAATAAGGCTCAGTAAGGAAGCACAGATACTGCAGGGGGAGGGTTGTTGGGATATTTGCCCTTGGATTTCATATACTACTTCTTTATAATATGTCGCCTTTTCTAGAAAAGATTTTCTTTAGTATTCTCCCAAAAGGAATATAAATAAATAAAATTCTATCTTCTACATATCCTTTCAAGTATTGGGCTAACTTTCATGACTCAAGAAACCTTCTTTGACAGCCCACATTAATTTTTTGATGTTTTTGGGCCATGGAATTAAGCACAAAATTGCCTCCTCCTTTTTTCATAGATGTTAACTTTTGTTACAGTTATATTTAAAACTCTTTGAAATAAGAAACTGCAATGCTTGTCATTTTAATTCCTCATAGCAGCTAGCATGTAGCCGAGCACATAGTAGGTGCTTAATTAAGGCCTGCTGGTTGATCCCTATGCATGTATATGCCCTCTGCACAAGAGAATTTCAGTGGAGAAACTTTGTAGGATTTACTTCAAGTACTTTTTGAATTATGGGATAAGAAATAGTCTTCAAAAGTCTATTTTTATTGTTTTAAATAGTTTTTTGTTTCAAATGATTTAACATTATTTAACTCTGGAATTATCAAAATTGGCAATATTTTATATCATTCATGAGAACAAGGATTTTACTTGAGAATAACACTATATTTATATTTGAAAATATCAAGTCAATAAATGCACTGAGATAAAAAGGTACACAGAGTGGTACATGGACATTGGGGACTTAGAATGGGGGAGGATAAAAGGAGGAGTGAAGAGAAACTACACATGTATACTATTCTGGTGTGGGTACATTAAAAACCCAGATACTACCTCTATACAATTCATCCATGTAGCCAAAAACCACTTATACCCCTAAATCTATTGAAATAATAAAAAAAAACCTCTGGCTAACCTGAAGAAGAAATGCACTGATATGAATCACAAATACTTTTCAAAGTGCAATGTTTAATTGCAAAGAAAAAACATGTTGAAACTTTTAACTGTTTGCTTATTCTGCTAGAGAATTTTCTTAAATTATGAACTTAAAAGTTCAAAATAGAAAATTATTTTTGAAGATGATTTTGAGAAGAACTTATTTTATATATCAGGGATTTACAAATAATGTTATTTGTTTAGTCTAGAATTATTTAATTGGTATTCTCTGAATTGTGTAAAATTCATTTTATGGAAGCTTCTTACAAATACCGTGTATATCTCAAATTTAAAACATTCAACATTAAAGAAGTTTGTTCTTTTTTATTAGAAAAAAATAATAGTAATAGTTTGTATTTTGGGTTGGGTTTTTCTTTGCAGTAGTTGGTCATGAGAAATTAATCATTTCTAATTTACTGGCAAAGGAATGGAATCACATAACTCTGGAGCTGGGAGGAAAGTTAATATATCAAAGAACAGGATAAATGTGTAAACATAAAAAATCTGTAAACTTTACCACAAGGATGGATTTCCCAATATACTTTCATATTTTCAAAATGAAATATTGATTTTATAATTTGATTAAAAATAAAGCATGCCCAAAGGAATTTTGAGAAAATTTAACTGGATGAATAACATCCTTAGCATGAAACAGTTACTGTAACCCTGCAAACTTCTTTGGTAGGGTGCCATCATTTTCACATGAAGTGGTGAGCAGTATTTAAAATATGTCAGAATTTTAACCTAAAATGAACTTGCTGAAATTTTGCAGAGGAGACTGGAAGGCGGAGGCCCTAGGGTCAGGGAGATCCGTTTGGAAGTTACTGAAGGGATTAGGGAGGGGATAGGAGCCAGTTTAAAGGAAGAGAAGCAGAGGTGTGAGGAAGGAAATGTGAGGGAAATGGCAGAATTCAGAAACATGACTGCACACAAGCAATGAAAGACAGGGAAAAGACAAAGGTGACCCCACACTGTTGGCCCAGAAGTTTGCAAGAATGGGACAACTACAGACATGTATCGTGCAGGGAGGAGGGGTTACTCTCAGAGACTTACAGGTTTTAGTTTTGGTGTGAATGTAAACTGTCTTGCAAATGTAACAATAAGGAATTCATGATTTTTGAAAAGCTTGGGTCAGGAATTTTTTTTTCCTATGTACAATTAAATAACTACCACTGATTTGTGGTACCTACTTGGGGCTTGTGTGTGTGTGAGAGAGTATATAGGCTTGTGTTTTGGTGGTCACACACAACTTCATTACATTCTGCAATTTGGTATCTGAGTGACTTTAGGGAAGCTACTTAATCTCTCTGTGTCCCACTTTTCTGTAAGAAATGGAGAATGAATATTTATGTGATTGTGTTACCAAGAGGATTAAATGAAATAATGCACACTGGAAGGCCTTACACAATGCCTACACATAAAACTCTTTAAAGGTTAGCTTTCCTTCCATGTGGATACTAAACAACAACAACAACAATAAAAATAACAACAAACTTCCATCTTTCTTAATAGCTAAGGCTGCCTTTAGGATACTTACTCTTAGGTAGAACTCTCCATTTTCGTTTCCAGATTTAATCCGAAAAGTATTGATAGTGTTGGCGTAAATAGTTGTGGCCTGTATCTGGAAGATGTCTGATGGCACAGACCTATCAGATCGGATGCTCATGTACTTGTAGACTATGGACTGGGGCAGGTCTCGGCACATGGCACTTGAGACTGGGCAAACACACCGGCTGCAGAAACAGACAAAAGTATTCACCGATTTGGCTTGGGGAGACCAGAACATTCTCACTTTCAATAGTTCTGATTTTTCTTACTTCTCTGATGTTAGAATGTAGGGCTCTTGACAAGGATTTCGTGGGTAACAACGGAAGCCGCCATGATAATTCCAACACATTTCATCCTCCCGGCATTCATTTGTGGTCTCACATTCATTTATATCTGTAGAGATGCAGAGTCAGAGAGTTTACTGATCTAAGAAGACTGCATGATTGGCAGATTCTGGTTTGCAAGGAAGAAGGTGTGTGGGAATCTGGACTATGTCTAATTTGCTTGTAAATGTAAGACTGGGTTGCATCTACTGAGTTCACTGCATTGAATTCAGGACAGATGTAGCTGAGCCATTCTAGACAGATAAATATGTGTTATTTCATGATATTTTATTAAGCACTTATTGTTAATCGGTTGAATTCAAAGCCGAATGCTAACATTGACTTTGCTTATATAATAGTCAAAAACACCCGTCCCTGTCCCCAGAAAGACTGCAATTGGGAACATAGATATGGCAACAGTTTTTTATAAAGTAAAATGGAATTAAATAAGAGATGGATAAGTGCACTAGAGGATTTGAAACAGAAATGATTACTTATTCCTGGAGGATTCAGGACGGTTGAAGGAAGGAGGAGGCATTTCAACTTGGCCTTGAAAGGTGGGGGTTAGATGGCGTTTTCATGGCTGCGGTAGGGAAGGCTTTCCAGGCTGAGAGAGCAGCAAACAAAAACCATGGATAGGGCAGCTTATCACCTGTCTCGGGAGCTAAGGAGGGAGGAAAAGGCTAGAAATGTGGTTTCAGAAAGTAGCAGCATGCGTTGGACAGCTGATGCTCTGGGAGTGGATTATACCGTCTGGAGGAAGCACAGCCCAAGAAGCGAAGATACGAAGCGTTCCACCTTGTAGAGCACAGCTATTGAAGGACTGCGAGGAAGGAGTGGAGTTAAGGAAGGGACTGTCAGCAGTGGGAGGTGACTCAGGAAAAGGCAGTGCACAAGACCAGAGCGGGAGAGAGTCCTGGGAAGAGAGGCTGTGGATAGGCCAGGCTGGACAAGGACTGATTTTAGATTAGGACACTGGGAGCTCCCAGATGACATCTGAGAGAACAGTTTTGCCATACAGCCATTACATTGATAACAACAACAATACAAATTAAATCAATATCTACGTCCCTATCTATGTCTATCTCCCTTTATACTTGAATAGTGATTTATATTATATCCAATATCAGCCTTTTATGAATCATTCCTTACCCACAACTGGATACTTTTATTCATTAGTTTACTCATTCCATAGGTAATTTACTCATTCTGTAAGTAATTTACTGAATCCTTGCTGCAAGCCAAGCCTGGGCTAGGTGCTGGAATATGATCCCTTTTGAATTCTCATGCCTCGTGCCCCTCTTTTAGGGCCTTTATTGCTTTCTGCTTTGCATTATTGAATCCTGCCTGTTTGTCTTAACCCTTCTATTAGATTGTAAACTCCCTGAGGGCAAGGGCGATTGCACCTACTTTTTATTTTTTACCTGTTCAAACATTTTATTTCCAGTCTTTAAGATAGTGCTTTCCCTTCTTTTTTATTTTTTCTTAATTTTAGCATATTATGGGGGTACAAATGTTTAGGTTACGTGTGTTGCCTTTCCCCCCTTCTCCCCTGGAGTCAGAGCTTCAAGCATGACCATCCTCCAGACGGTGCGGATCACACTCATTATGTATGTGTATACCCTTCCCCTCTTCCCCCCTACCACCTGCCTGACTCCCGATAAATGTTATTCCTATATGTGCCCTTAGGTGTTGATGCGTTAATACCATTTGCTGGTGAGTACATGTGTGCCCCCACCTTTTAATCGTTTCATCATCTAGCATTAATGTACTGAGCACCTGGCTTTTAAGCAATATTAAATTGATCAAAGTAGCTCCTCACACCAACTGGGTGGAGATAGGTGAGGAAGATATTATCTCATTTGATATGAAAGAAAAATAAGGATTAATTGGCTGGTTCAAGTTCATTATAGTTAGTGACAGGCAACTTTCCACTGCAAGGTACTCTAAAGAAGAATAATTCCATGGCTTGTCTTTAGAGAAAAAAAAAAATTATTTTAGCCTCCAAACTGGCTAAAGTTATCTGGAACCCAACAGGAGGCTGGAAAAGCTATGTAGTTTCCAAGAGCCAGTTACAAAAAGTATCTTCTTGGACTGGCTATAGCCAAAGAAAGAAAATTTAGATTCCTCAGACAAAATCACAATAGACTTGCTCTCTCAATATTTTTCACTTTTTGAAAAATAAAGATGCCATTTAGCTATAGGGAAAATGAAGACTGTTTTGTCATATGGAGTCCAACAGAAGCAAAAGGAAACTTTAGGTTATAATTCCATCTATTACTTCTAGTAATTTAGAATCTAGCATAATCCATACTTTAATCATTCTGGAAAGTTTTCCAGAAATTAATGGTATTAAAATATTTGATGAATGTGTGTCTGTGTGTATGTGTGTCCTGTCTCTGTCTCTCTACATACATATACACACACATACACATATATATACACACAGTTTTCATTTTTTGCAGGCCTGTGAAAATGAGAATAGTTATTTCTTCCCCCAAATAAGCCTTTTAGAGCAGAGTAAGAATCCAAATCTTTTTGATTTTACTTGATTCCTGTGAATGAGGTTCAGATGGGATGGTTTCAGGGGTGGGAGGCGGGGAGAGGAAGCAATTACTTTATACTTTAAAATAATGTTAAGTCACTTTCCCAAGAAAAGTTTTGGCTTTATCAAACATTCTAAAGCTGTATATCTTCAACATATAACACTCATATATCACCCATTTGCAATCTCAGTGCATTTTTATCTGTAATTAAAACAGATATAAATGTTGCCAGATATATAGACTAGGCAGGTAAGATCCCAATGGACAATTAATTTGCTTCTGTCTTTTGCTGAGCATCAAATCTAATTTTGATCAGAAACATATAGACATTTGTTTCAAGGACTCCAAAGAAATTTGTTAAGCTATCCCACTGGCAAACATTTTCCTGCATGTAACATTCATGTTAAAAGTCTCAATTAGGGTTCAGTAAGTAAAACCATTGGAATGCAATATTGTCCCACAATTAACATTTACAGAGTCTCTAGTAACCTGGAAAGGGTTATAAAGATGTTCGCTGTGCAATGAATAACATTCTGATTATTTTCATACATAGTGGTTGGAGTCTATTTGAAAAACTGTCGGCATACTATAAAATTCCAGGTCATAGATGTTCCTCTGAGTTAATATTTTCCTGTACAATCATGGTATAGACTGAGAATCCCCAGTGTTTCCTTTCCTTGATCTTTTCTTTTCTTAACAGGATCTTTACTGCCCTTGCATGCCCGCTCTCCAATTCTGATTAAAAAGGACTCTCTAGAGAAGATTTACTACTCGTCATTTGCACTGGTAGGTAAACTTCATAAAAACACCTTGAGCTGTGCAAGCTTTATAGTTTACAAATTATTTTTATGTATGTCATTCTAGTGAATTCCTACAACTCCCTTTTCTAAATGAGAAAGCAGGGGCTCAGAGGAGTTTGATAATTTGTTCAAGATTGTACAGACAGAATGCAGTGGAGCTAGGATTTGAACAGGTTTTTGTCCTCAAGTTCAGTCATTTTTTTTCCACTTTTTCACTGCTCTGTGCAAATTTAAGTGTTTATACTGGCTTTTCCAAGATTCTCTAAATTTTTGGTTTTTATCTGAGTCTTTTCCCTGTTAAACAAATTTTAAATTACACATAACATTGTAGGTAAGGGAAGGGGGTACATATTTTTAGATCTTTCTGAGAGACTCTGAAATCACACCATTGTAGAGAGCTACCTCTTTTACCTATGTATAGGTATGAAGATCACCTGAATGTTGATTTTGAAACCAGACCCAAGGTCATTAGTTATTTTTAGATCAATAATTTTTTTCCTAAAGGATTCTAGCACCTTTTAATACACATCAGGCTGATTTTTCTCAGCACATAAATTACTACCCAATTTATAATCCTGGTGTTTTAGAGAAATGAGACTGGCTTGAGGTATGCCTAACTCATACATTGAGCTTAGGCTCTAAACTCAAACTAATGGGTGAGACATTTTAATAAAAAAACTGAATCTTTTCTGGTAGATGATTTGAAGATGTATCTTATGGAGATCACATAGGCTATCAATAAGGGATATCAATATTTTATTAAAATTATTTATACTTTAAGAAGGAAAAAACCTATTACTCTAAATTTCAAGGAAAGTCATCATTAACATTGAATCTCCTCTTTATGAGATGTATATATCTCATGATGAACAGGGGAAGAAAGAGCTTAAATTGTATATTCAAAGTGGGGAGAAATGAAAGTCTATGGTAGGGAATCCTATAACTTCCTCTTTGATCTTCCTGGGTAAACTTGAACACTGGTTATCATATATGAAAATAATAAACTTACCCTGACATGTTCTACTTCTTACCACTTGGTATCCCTGGGGGCACATACATGAGAATTTCCCAGGTTCATTAACACATTGATATTGACACAGGTAGCTTGAGGTTCTGCATTCATCAATGTCTGTTGAATCAGACAAGAGTAAGGACACAGAGTTGAAAAGCTTACATGTCACTAGTTTGGTAATACAGATATAAATATATATTATTTCTGCTCAATAGTCCAGGGAGAAGTAATATATTTTTAGGTAAGCCAAAGAGAGTGAAAACACTGCAAAATCTTAAATAGAAATACAAGACTTTATAAGAAGCTCAAGGGCAAATTTTAACAATATTAGTTCATTTCCCTCTATAATTTCACAGCACAAAGAATCATTTTTTTTTTTTACCATGAGTTTTGCTGACTCATTGCTGACAGTTTATCTAATCCCAGACCTAACTATACTAGCTGAACAGACTGGATGAATTAGACTGTGGCTTATGCTCTTCACTTTGGGCTCTGCATACACACCTAGGGTGCAGATTCATGCAGAATTTAGGGGTGACTCAGCTGCCCAGGTCATCTGAACTTTGAGCTCCGAGTCCCAGCCCTGTGCAAACTTCCAGAGGTGATGTCTTGGCAGGATCTGGCCTTCAGGGGAAGAATGTTCTGTATTTCTGAACAGTGATGTCCAGAAGGGCAGAGGCAGCTGTTCTGAGCTAGCCACTTTTGGTTTTGAGCACAGTGGCATGATGTAAGGCCTCTCTAGGTGGTGTTTGATCTTTGTGGTCCCAACTAAAGCTGGGAGGGACTGTGAGGAAGTCAGGGACATCAAGTGTTGATGGCATGCCCCTCAGGACGTCTAATGCCTTCTGAATTATACAGTGGAATACGCACATGCAATGGGCTGTGAAGGCGTCCACCCAGTTAAATGGCCCTCTTCTTACTCATATGGACAACTTAAGAAAAGTGCCCAAGTCACACACTAGCAGGAATAAGACTAGGGCCTCAGGTTTTTATCCTAATGTTTTGACACACACTCAGTTCTTTTTAAACTTAAATGTGCATACCAATTACACCAGCTTTTGTAATTGCAGATTTTGTAAATGCAGATTCTGGCTCGGCAGGTCTGGGATGGAGCCTGGGATTCTGCATTTCTCATAAATTCCCAGGAGGTGTTGATACACCTGGTCATCAGATCACACTTTGAGAAGCAAGATACTAGAGCACACTTCCTAATTAATAGGTCCAGCCTACATCTAATATTTCAGTGACTTTATTTCTTCTCCTTTTTCTTGGTAACATATTAAAAAGCCAATGTTATAATCGAACTACATTAACTGGATTATATAGCAGGATTTCCATGAGTAAAAATTTGTTTTCATAAGTAGGTATGTAATCAGATAAAGCAACAGCAATCACAGGGATTGGACTCTTATTCCACATCATTTGGACAATATTTTACCTTCACAGTTGAGCCTGTCACTGCTTAGCTCGTATCCTTGATTACACTGACAGATGAATGAACCAAGAATGTTGTAGCATTGCTGAGCACATTGATTGCTGGCATCACATTCATTTATATCTGAAAGAAAAGGTTTTATATATCTATATATCCATCTATAAATTCCTTTAACCATATCCTTGCCCTTTTGTACCTATGTCATCTGATGATAAGTAGTTCCCTAGCCGAATTCTTTGCCCTGCAGAAGCTCACTGGAGAACATCCATTTAGGTTTCATATTTGTTGGAATAACTTCAAACGCCTGTCATATACTTCTTTTAGAAATACCAAAATGTTTTTTTTTTCTAGGAATGAAAGTTAGTTTGATGTTTGATGAGTCTTTCCAAAAGAATTTAATGCTTCTAATAAATATACATTCCAGTATCTATTTTCTTTTGTTGTTGTTCAGATACAAAATGCCAAGTCTATAAATAATTGATACAAGACACTCACTCTGATATGGTCTCTCAGCATGCTGTAGTGAAGATTTATCTGTGCTATTTATTACTTTTTAAATGGGTTCTGTTAAATTCCATTACAATTATAACATAAGCCTTTGAGACCCATACGGAGTTTTGCAATGCTCTGAGGCACTGAAAATATTGTGAAAAGGCATTTTTCCTACACTAGATTCTTTCCATGTCATGCCAATCTTAAATTGTGTGCCGTGACATTGCATTCTGAAAGGGGAGAAGCAGCATGTAAAAATCAGATGCACTCTCAGTGGAAAGTTTATATATTTGAACTTGAAGTAACCCTTGGCACCTTCAGCATTTATATCACACACTGTTGACTAATTGGTGGGTGTGTGTTTATCAATTGATCTGTAGTTTTAAAAATTTTTTGATACATCCACAGAGGAGAATCAAAACCAAGTTTAAAGAAGTTTTCCATTCACATCTTGATGTGTTTTAAGAAACATATTGGTTATTATCGTTTCAGCTTTATGATTGCTTAAGGGAAGTTGATGGAAACCAATTACTCAAGAACATAGGAAACTGGAAATACTGCTATGTGGCATGGGGTTTCCTTTTTTCTTTGAAGACAGAAATCAGCTAGTTCCCAAAAGGCTTACCTACGCAGGTGTAGTTGTTTGCTGCCAACTGAAACCCTGGACTGCACTGGCAATAAAACGAGCCTGGTGTGTTCACGCATCTCTGGTGGCAATACGGAGGGATGGTACATTCATCTATGTCTGGGGTATCACGCACACACACAAAGAGAACCAAGTTATTGGCTTAGCATAGCTGTTTGCTTTCACGTTCTCAGTAGAGCATTATCTAGAAAACCTATCTAGAGAAGACCACATTTAAAAAGACCACATTATTTTGTTAAAATTAGGGCATACGTGTTTTAAATATACTTTGGTCTGCATTCTGCAGTTAGATAAGATGTTAAGAACAAAGACTGAGTGTTCACATCATTCAGTGGTAAATAAACCCAGTGAGTGGGTTGAGATTTAAAGAAAAAACGTAATTGAGACTATTTCACATATATATGAGAATGTCAGTTTGGGGAGCTAAAAGCTTCCTTAGAATTACACAAGTAAAAAAGAACGATTAATACCAAAGAACTGAGTGATATCGCACAAATCTAAACGAGTTCTGCACTGTGCTCAGCTGGGGACCTTGACTAAGACACTTAAATGTTTAATATCTTGTTTTTTTCTTCTGCAAAATGTAGATAGTAAGGCTTGCCATGTGTATCTTAGGAAGTCTTTGTGAGAATCAGATGAGAGAACACGGTGGAAGGGATGCTAAACAAGTTAACTCTTGAGAGTGCCCTCCTGACACTTTGATGAAGTTTGCAGCCTGTGTCCTTCTCATATAAATGTTTCCAACTATAAAATGCTCAATTGAGAACTTGCAGAGTAGGACTAACATCTTAGAAGCATAATAAAATTTCAATAATTCATGACTCTACACTGTGTGACAACTCCAACATGGCATAGGTAATTTAAAATAACAATTATGCATGTACAATGTAACCCTATATAGTGACACTGCCTTATGGTAAAACAAAACTTTATGCTGAGCTCTTTTGGTACTTCAATAATTAATAATGTGGGAGGCAGTGTGCTCAAGTGGCCTTAGGATAACCTGAATTTGAATCTTTTTTTCTGGCAGTTACTAGCTTGGTCTTAACCTCTTGAGCTTCCATTTCTTCTTCTGTAAGTCATAATACAACAGTGTGGTGGAATTGTTGGGAGGATCACAGGACATAATGTAGGCGAAGTTCCTGGCAGATAGCAGGTAAAAGTAAATGGGAGCTATTATTAATAAGCTGCAAGATATATTTAATTTAACTTGAATAATGACATAAATGATAAGAAGATAGTCACATGGCTTTTCCCCGTACTTTGTTCAAGTGTCTATTCAAATGTCACCTCCTCAGGGAGGCCATCCTTCCCACCCATAGGAAATAGTTTCTTCTGCCTTATCTATTCTTCTGTACCCTTTCCCCTATTCCCTTACCCTGTTTAAACTTCTTAATAGCCCTTGACACTACTTGACATTGTGTCATGTGTTTCTTTGCTTCTTGTCTGTCTCCGTCACTGTAATGCATGGCAAAGAAGACCTGTCTCCTCCCCTTGAGGCGAAGGCAGAGGGGTGTTTTGTCTGTTCACTGCTGTATGCTTAATACCTGCACAGGGCCTGGCATAGTGCATGCTCAATAAATATTATTTGAATGAATGGAAACTTCACATAATTAGGAGCAATTTTAGCATAATGCTTCCTAGTACTTAGTATTATAGCCAGTGCTAGTATTGTTATATAATTTGTATGTATGGTACTTTCTAAAAGCTCCATGAGGGCTATGTATTTGAAAATCTGTTTACTGCTATAGCCCTGTGCCTAGAATAGTGCCTGGCACACAGTCAGTCCTCAATGACTATTTGGTAAATAAATGGTGCATGTCTTATCAACCAGTAAACATTCATCGAACCCATTGTTATTTGCTAGCTTTGTGTTTAGCACTGCAGGTTTAGAATCATAATAAATATACGTATGTTCTGTCCCTGTCTAGCATGGAAGACAGGCATGAAACAATTACTCCATGGTATGATAAGATCAACAATAGAAAGGTATACAAGGGACAGAGACAGTACTGTGGAACTCAAAGTATGGCCTGCTGACTCTTGCTGGTCTATAGGCTATTTGGACCAATCTTCAGTGAATAAATGCAGAAACTGAGAGCACATGTTTAGGAACAACAATTTGACATTACTGCAACATTTTAATAATACTTTAGAGAAGTATTGGTCTGCAACAGATTAGAAATTTACAAAAAGGATCTCTCATAATAACTTGAAAAGTACTGGCATAGAGGAAGGAGTGACTAATTATATTTGGGTAGATTATGGAAGGCTTCCCAAAGGCAGTGACCCTGAGCTGGGAGTTGATAGTGAAATAGGAGTTTGCCATGAGGGAATGTTCTTGGTGCTAGGAGGAACTGAGATAGAGGCACCGAAGTGTACCACGCATCATGCATGTGGGGAACTAGTGGGATAAACCTGGGGTGTAATATTTTTTCTGGGGTTGTGGGGGGATGTTGATGCAATAGAGCTAGACAAGGATCAGACTGAGGAAGACCTTTTAGGCTCTGTTGAAGAATGTAGACTTGATTCTGTGGGTGAGGGGAACAGGGAAAACACACGAATAGATTGGAGTTTATGAATGCTCTTCCAACTACATCATAAAGGGCTGTGACCATATGTTCCATTCTCTTTGATTTGCCCCACAATAAGTTGGTTTAGTTCTTTTTTCCATACTTTTTATGCCCTCAAATATTTATTTTCCTAATAGTACAGGCAAAGCTTTGGTGTCTGTGGAGTTTTCCACATGCTCTTCTGTTAAATCATAGCTTTATTCACTGCAAACCCTGGGCCCTCCTTGGAGGCTGGGCACTAACCCCAGCATCTAAGCATAGCCCCGTGGCAGGCAGAACTGGGCCAGGGCCCATGAGGAGCTTAGTGTTGACATCCTACTTCAACAGCTCCCATTCTCAGGCGAAAACTGATGCTGGTAGTCTGTCCCACATCCTCACCCCCTCTTCGTTCATCTGTGGTAAGAGGTGTTATGTAAATAAACAGACAGAGGGAGTCAATTACAGAGGTTCATGCCTGGGGCTGGGCCTCATGACTGAGCCCAGGATGCTTTATTTTACTATGCTATTTGCTAGTCAGCCTATTTATATGGTGTTCTTCCATTCATTTAAAACACACACACACGGCATCCATTGCACACTTTGGGGACTGGGGAGGCAGCGGTGACACAAGCTGGCCTGGCCCTGCCCTTGGGAGCTCACACGCTCAGCCCTGAAGCACAGGCACGTGCTGCACTTGGCTCTGCGTGCCTAGCATCTTGCACAGGTGTTCTGTCCTGTAGAGAGCCTTTAGTACTCGTCTGCTAATTCAGTACACAGTGATAGCACATGGCTTTACTGCCAGGCGCTGTTCTAAGCAGCCCTGCACACACGCTCCCAAGCCAGGAACTAGTATTATCTCCACAGTACAAACGAACAAGGCGAGACACAGACTTTAAGTAACTTTTCTCAAGGTCTCAAAGTGGGGTGGGGGTGGGGCTGGAATCTGAACCTGCCCATTTGCCCTCTGTGCTCTGCTGTGTTATGCAGCAGTGAATGAAGTCCATGTAGCCAGTGTGCTAGGCCCACAGCCCCCAAACAACTAATTTAAAATTGCTTTGGTGTTTTTTATGGTCCCATACGTACGCCAGATTTCTGCTTTGGCTTAGTCCAACATGTCACCCACCAACACTTTGATATTTGGAATAGGCTCAACCTTTAGGGTTAGCGATTTGTTATTAGCGTGGAAAATGGATTGGTAGCTGACGAATGAATAAGCAGCTGTTGGCTCTGCTTCTCCAAATAAATATGAGCGCTTTGACTGGGTTGCCTGAGGCTTAAACAGTCAAGGTGCTCAAGACAGGACTTTGCTTTAGCGCACCCCCCCCCCCTGACACTTACCTACACACTGGTCCCCTCGCTTCTGATACCCGGGGGGACACTGACACGCGAAGGAGCCTCGTAAATTGATGCACACTTGGTCTGCTCTGCAGTTGTGTGTCCCTGCGGCACACTCATCTATGTCTGCCGGAGACACGCAACACAAAAAGAATTTTAGTCGATTATGAAGATGCCAATATTCCCTCCATTTCCCCATTTCTTACACTGAATTTTTACTTTATTCTTAAAACATTACTCTATATTATTGCCACATTGGAAATGTTTAACATTAGAAATCATTTCAAGTGTTCAGAAAATAATTTCATGGATACTAGTGTGTACCACTCAAGATTTAAGAAATACTAACATTTTGCCATGTTGCCTCACTTTTAAAGCTCACTTTGTTTTGTTAATAAATATTTCAGATACAGCTAAAGCCTCAGACCACCCTCACCCCTTTACCCATCAACTACCACTGTCCTGCTAGGTGTGAATCCTTCTCTGATATTTTTACACTTTTATTATACAGGGATGTACCCATTAGGACATATGGTATTGTTTTATATGTTTTAATTTTTAAATAGGTTGTATGATACCTGTTTTTTCCACCCAATGTATTGCATTTGAGATAATTTCTATTGATAAATCTCTAGAAATCTGCCCAATGACTGGGAATAATCAAACTTTAATATTACACATTCCCCATATCTGGTTTTTTTTTTTACGCAAATGATAGGGTAACATAGTGTAAAAATCTTTCATTGCAAATTTCAAAATGCAAAGGATTCCTCTAGGAGAGAAAGGCTGGTGAGATTTAAAAATACATATTTTCTCAAAGCAATTTACTTCTGAAAATAATTTACTACATGTGCCTTAAGGAGTAGGCAGTTTACAATTCTAAAAAAGTAAAAAAATGCTTAGTCATAACATAATAAGCAGTATAAAGAATTTCTTAATTTGGGATCTAAATGTGATATAAATTTGTATATGTATATTCATATTTACTAATTACTAGTAATTTATAAGTGAAATTTAATTTTGCCTTATCTACATCACCTTTGTATTCAGATTCATTCAGATCTCTCATATCATGAATTTAAATAGCACAAATGAAAGGATTACATAATTTTGGCATTCTTCAACAACTAAAGACACTATGCTTCATTAAAAAAAATCATGAAACTTATAATTCCTAGATGACAAATTTTATACAAAAACCCAAGTGGACTTAAGGGGTCTTAGTTCAACATTGTGGTAGACCCTGGGTGGTGCTTTGGAAGAAATAATGGGCCAATAATAATAATAATTAAAACAACCAAAACATCAGTAATTAGAATTTACTCAATTCTTGCCTTCCCTTTAAGAAGCTCAGAGAGTGGCCCCTGGCACCACTACTTTGCCTTTGATTTTTCTGTATTTTCATGGAGAACTGCTGCACTTACACTATGCCCTGTAATGGGGTATGAAGTTCAGATTGTAAGAGAGTTGTCCTGGGATACTGGCTTCACTTAGCTGGGTGTGGAAATGATAAGAGAGATTCTTTCCATAAGAAAGAGGGAGGGGAGACAAAAAATACTTCAGTGATGTATGGCTATTTATTGGATAATAACCTATAAAAGCATCTACTTATGTAATTCTTTTGACACTGGTTTTAAAGTTTTGGCTAAGTTTTGAAATGTTGTCTTGTTTTGAAATGTATTATTATTATTATAATTGCTATTATTATTTTCAAGTCGGTGATTACAAACTCCTTTTTTAGGTACTATGCAATGGTGCAGCAATCTTGCTTTGAAACTCTCTGCTCTTTTTTGTGTCTTTTATTATTTTTCCATACACACTTGATGAAAACCTTTCTACTGGCGTTTCCTCAGAGCTTTATGACTCGCTAATGCAGAAATGACAGCAGAATTTCTATTGTTTCATGTCAAGAACATCTGCCAGCATTTGCAGTGACAACAGCCCTAAGAGATACAACAATGTTCAATTCCGATGTGGCAAGTTTCCTCGGTACATGCTGGCAGGAGATCAAGGCCTTGGGCTGGCTGCTGCATTTTCTAAGGGAGGCCTCACCAGTGACTGAGGCTTTTCTTTCTGAGACATCTCCCTGCAAACTGCCTCCACCCCATCACATTCCTACAATTGATGTCCTACAACTTCCTTCCTGCTTTCTTGTTGTTCATTTCTAAATCTCTTTGATAAATAGTCTGACATTTCCAGTGGAATTAATATATCATTAAATTGGTTTTAAACTCCTCCTTAAGAACCAGGTCTGTTTACCTTCTGAAGGGGTTGTTAAATAAAAATATTAGGTGAGTTAATGTAATTTAATAAAAATAGACAAACAAAACAAAACAAATAAAATACCACTGCCTGCCCTGACACTATGTTCTTTTCCTTTCTCTATTAAAAACCAAACAAAGCTGAGGCAGGACTTGCCTCACCCAGGACTGACTGGTGATCACACTTTGTACTTTCCTGGATTCACAAAATGCTCAAAACAGTAACCTCTATGACCTGGAAGCAGCTACTAACTACATTTCCACTTACAATTCTTTGACTACAGTTTAGAATATTTATCCTCTTCCTTGCTCTTAGCAGGTTATCTAATGCTGTAGACTATAAGTAGACTGAATTTCTTTGGCCTGTCTTCAATTATGATGTCCATTTATTAGTTTAACAATTTGATTAGTTTGAAAATTATACTTGGAGATCCTGTTATTGCTTGTTTATACATCTATACAAAGCCACATAAAAATTGTTATGTACATTGTTAAATTCTTTTATGTTTATCTTTTCTATTTGAATGCATTTTCATCTGTCTTAAATATCAGAAAGTTCAATGCAATACAAAAATCACTAAAATGTACAACTATGTCAGAAACTCAAAATAGAAATACCCATCCCCGTGCAGATATTCCCCAAACCCTGTCTTTCCCAGAGGCATTTATTAAAGTCCACTGCTCTCTGCCTCCTCCTCACTCACCACAGCACAAATACTGCCTTTTGCAGGTACATTCATGGCAAAAAAAAAAAATCAATTTCCTGTATTTATATAGGAGAATATCTGCACTGGCAAAAGCAAGTTTTATTTATAAGGGAAATTACTCAGGTCAGACATAATTGTCCTAATAATCTAGGAAAAAGTACTATGGGGAGAGGAATTTCTGTTTTGTTTTTAAATCATCTAAGATTTATCCTTGACACTTAAACTCACTTGGTTTTTTAGGCAGCCAGTTAACACATTCCTTGGGACCTGGACCCCGGCTCTTGGAGAGTGGGTTCTGTGTCTTACTTTTATCTATATTCCTAGTGCCTAGCACAGTGCATGAAACATGGTGAGTTTTCAATAAATATTTGTTCAATAAATGGATGAAATGAATCATTAGTATTTGCAGAGAATCAGTGCCTGGAGTTTAAGGAAAGAAAGATCAGTGTTTTATCTCATGGAACTAAACATTTATAGGGCAAGGTAATAGGCAGAATCTGAGAAACACAGCAAAATCAATAAGATGTCAGTAAATGTAAAAGGATGTAAAGCAACTGAGTCCAGAAGCACAGAGGCTACGCAGACTAAAGCAGCATCTGGGGTGGGCAGTGGGGAAGGTTTGCCAGAGGAGGTACATGTTAGAGAAGGTGAGATATGTGGATTGGCAGAAAAAGGAGGCTGTTTCTGGGCAGAAAGCAGGTCACATTAGAAACCATTGCCAAGACAAAACCATTTCCATGAGAAGCATGACACACGGGGTCAGCATGCTGGAAGGGCTCTGTGACGAGCCTGGTGCAGTGCCCGGTCAAAGGTGCTTATAAAATGCTAGCTCAAATCATGAGCAAAATCCAGGGCCATAAAGGTGGGATTAGAGAGTTTGGATTGGACAGCCTAGGGAGCAGCTCTGAACTATGTAGACATAGCCGCATGGTAACATTACCAAAGAACAAAATAATAGAATGTGCTTCCTAAAATATCACAACACATTTCATCATTCTAATACATTAAGAATAGCTAATGGCAATATTTGGTGATTCCTTCATTTTTCAAAAATGTGCCCACGCTCTCCCTCCTAGTGATTTATACCATCGTAGGTCCCTCTCTTGCTGACTTTGGCACCATTAGTTGCTTTAAATAATACAGCCTAATCTCTGCTCACCTCTCGCTTCTAGCCTCTTTATCACACTGACCTCCAGCCTAGAACTGCACATTTGATTTTTCTCTCACAGTTAATGGAGGCAACTGTGTCCACGTCTCTGTGGTGTCCATTAAGTCCCTGCTTAGGCCCTTATTCTCTATGTTTTTGGCTCCTTCCCTTCAGTCTGACTCATATTTCCCAAACCCCTGACTCATGCTGCTTTCTCTCTCTTATGCAACATTTTAATCTCTGCAATGTTCTTTCCATAATTTGATAACTTACCACAACATGGAGTCCCTTCAGTGTGTTTTCATGGGCAAAAGCTATCTGCACCTCGAATGGTGTTGGGTACCACTTAGACTTTTCTAATTTGTGCTGCTTTAGGTTTGGGAAATAATTCAGAACTACTTTTGAATAAGCCACCATAGACTAGTGCTGAGACTGCACTAGTGCTAGGAGAGAGGGGATTGAAATTATTTTGATTCAGTCACTGCCTATGTGATCTAGGGTCATGGTATCAATTTTTTCCCCTCCACACCTCCATCTGTAAAACAGACTGTCTATTCTTAATGATAACATACAGATTTTAAAAAATGTTCAGAACCTTCAACATGTATCTTTGTTTCCAGATTATAAGCCCTTAGAGTAAAATAATCATATCTTTACTAGTTCTGTGCAGGACACTGTGCATACTTTGCAAATAGTATCTCATGGTGCTTTCCTTTGATTTCCTGTGGTTAAAGAAAAGGTAGTGGGTTAAATTCAAGTTGCTGATATTCCTTGACGTGTAGATTTAAAACCTTATTATATCTATCTTCTCCAACTATACTGATTTAATCTCCTAAATGCAGTAAAGAAGGAAAAAAGACCAAAGATTCATGTTTGCTATCAGGAGGAGCTATTTTACTGTTGGCCTCTTTTTCCCCCAGCATTCTGGTCCTAATCTTTTCCCTGGCCTAGCTCGCCTTGGTGTGTGGGCAGGAAAGGGACCAAGGGTGGACCTGGGGGGGTGCCCAGAAC